TCTACGGAAGCATAAAATTTAAATTTCAAACTCAAATCTTTTTCCAAAGAAGACAAACATCTCCATAGGCATAAATATAAAAATATTTGCGTTAAACCACCCAAACGTTCCACTTCGTAATCAAATCTAAATCGCAAAATATATATACTTTAGCGTACAATAGACAAGGATTTCTTTGCAATCAAACCAGGTCACTCGCATCAGACATCAACCAATCAATCAACTAACCAATCAACCGACCAACCATTCAACTCACCCAATGTTAGCGGGCTCATTCCTACCCTTAACCATCAGCCCCATCTCGAACTTCTCTTTCTTCCTGCTGGCCACCGCATCACGTGACTTGTTGACGTGCTTGTAGCTGGCGTGCGTCGGCTTCACTTCACACCACGGCGAGTCTTGTGGCGTCGATGATGACGACGGTGGCGTGGTAATAATATTAATAATAATAAAAATAACAATTATTATTATTGTTGTTGTTGTTGTTGTTACCGGTCTCTATGAGCAGTCTATCAGATGGAATTCGTTTGACGACATCCAAGTTGTCAGCAGTCTTCAATGAGCTGATTGAACAATTGATCGATGGTTGATTCATTGATTGACCGAGTGATTGAGTGATTGATTGGACGATTGAATGATTGCTGGTTGATTGAACGATTGATTGGTGGTTAATTAACTAATTCATTGATTAATTGACTAATTGATTATTTAACTGTTTGATCGATCGACTGACCTGACCGATTGACTTATTGATTGGTGAAAATATTAATTAGTTAAATGATTGATTGATTCACTCCCCCACTCAACCAAAAAACCATCCAAACGATTAACCAACCAACCAACCAACCATCCAACCAACCAACCAACCAACCATCCATTGATTCCGATGTAGAAACCGAACTCCATGAATTGCTTTGCATCATCATATGTACCATCGAATGAGTGAACCTACAATGGCGACGACGATGATAAAGATGATGATGGCATGGTGTGTGAGTGAACAAAGTGTGAACGATCGCATGAACGAACGGGTAAATAAAAGAATGAAAAAAACAGATGAACGATTGAATAAATAAAGAATGAACAACTTTATAATGTAATTTAGGATTTTTTTTTGTCGGTTGGGGGGCATTAAAAAAATGAAAATCGCTATTTTGCTTCATCAATTTTTATGTAAAGAATGGGTGAACAAACAAACGAATGAATGAACGAACTAATGAGCGAACGAACGAATGAGTGAATGAAGAAATGATTGAAGAGAGAATGCATGAGTCACTCACAACACCTCCATAAGCGAGTAACTCGCGATGTTTCTGAAGCTTGTCGATGAAGTCACGTGATGAATTTCGGCAGTGAAGGAAGAGAGGAAGGTGTTTGGTGGAGGAGAGGTGAAAGTGCATG